CAAATTGCCACTGAAGGGAGGCTTTTATATGGAGTAATCATGCAGCCATACTGCCTCTGCGACGTGTTCCCTACAGGTGCAACAGACTGGCATGTCAAAGCCATAGGAACACCCACTATGCTCTTCAACATAGTGGAAGTCTCGATACAGGATGATGGTACTATCCATTGGGCATACCCTCACCTAATGACGTAAAATTCTCAATCTCTGAGTGGAAGCCTACATTGCGTCGCTGCCGGTCTAACCAACTGATGTCAGAATCGCTTTGATGCCAACTACCACAGTTGATGCTGAATCATCAATGGGGTTGATCTTATTGGGAATGGTGCCCTAAACGCATGCGATGTAATGAGGGATATTATTATTTATTTAATGAAAGAGAAATTTCATTATTTATGTGCATGTATTATTAAATACTTTAGGGATATCATTGAAAATTTCACGATTATTTATGTGACCTTAAATATTGTATATAACTATTATATACTGGAGGATAATATTTAAGGATAATAATCAAAGTAAGTCCACAATGAATTTAGTTAAAGTTCAGAATCTTTAATTAAAAACTTATTATTACATGTCATTCCTATTAAGAATGGAACGAACTTATATGCATCCTTAATATGAAGAGATATCGAATGAGTGTATTTTAAATAATGAGATTATGTAGGACTGGGAAAAGACACGATATGAATTTCTAATCATTTCTGTTAAGTATAGAAATTCTAATTGAGTCTGTCGATGGTCATATATAAAATGATCTTAATGTTGAGTTATTAGCATACTCATATTTATGGATTTGTGTCTTTTGACTTACTCATTATGCATTTTGAGATTGCAAAATCCTATTTCTCGTATCTTGGAGACATAATGAAGTGGGTAGGCGGGAATGCAGATATACGAGATGGAATCTGTTCCTTCGTGTATAAAGAAGTCGATAAATAATTTACTTGAGGGTTGATTCGGTACTTGGATTAGTAAGAGCTTTGATTCATGAATTTATTTTATAGACCACTATCCATTAGAGAATTAATGGTACTCAAGGATAAAGATGCAATTAGAGAAGTTAACGGATTTCACCTAACTCTAATTATGAAATATTTATGGAGGATCGATCCATATGTAGTGACTATATCAAATAAACACTTCAAATGATAACCAATTATCTATTGCTTAGACTTTGAGATAAAGCAAAGAGTTTTCCTAAAATTCTATGAATATGAGACAATAAAGAATAAGATAACACAATTTTTTTCTCCATTCCCTTATGAGATTGGCATGTAACATAGCAACACAGGCTGTAACATTCTGTTTGACAACATGTAACATTCTAGTGACAGTTGTGTAACCTGAGAGAAAAAAGAGAAGAAAAGTTCTTCTATTCTCGGTTCCACCTCATTCATGTGTTGATAATGGTGGAAGAGAAAATTAGCGAGTGATCAATCCTATAATTCTAAAATTAGAGCCCACACTCTAGCTCTTGTAGGTATTAAGGACTAGACAAAAAAGGTTCATGTTTTCCTAGAAAGCTTGGAGCGAGGATTGTTCATGGTCAAAGAACTCAAGTTATCGACTTAATTGTTCGCTAGGTAATTAGATTAATTTATTCGTATATAAATTAATATATTCTATAGAGTCTTACAAAAGTTGTATGAAAATTTTTATTATATACGATCTGTAGATACACGCTTCTGCATCCGAAATCGTTTCAAAAACCAACAGATCCAACATCAACCAACTACTTAAACAATCTACCTCTACTAATTTATACTCATGAAACAAGTTCATCGGCCACCCGGTTCGATTAATCAATCGAGTTGACCCATCAACGAATACGACTCTTCAATCGAGTTATCATCGGATCGACTTATTAGTCGAGTCGACCTGTCAAAAGCAAGGACTCACCTAATATGTCTACAATACAATTTAACTCATCTAAATGAGCTGCCTTATCTATCGTATTTAACTCTTCAATCTAGTTGATTTGTGAATAAAACACAACTCATTCATCGAGTTGTTTCATCTATCATATTAAATTCTCCATCGAGTTAATCTTTCAAGGAATCCTATAAATAGACTAAGTCACTCACATGATTCATTTGGAGAGTAATTAATGTCTAACTCCAATTTAATTTGAATTTCAATTGGATAATATGTCCAACAAGTAACTGGTTAATTTGGAAAGCAAGCAACTGAATCCTAGAGGGATTCTCTCTGCTATAGGCATGTGATACTGAATGGTCTTACCACATGTATGTTCCAAAATTCAAATTAAGTAATCACATGATTTAATATCCAATCAATTCTTAATTAATTATTTCAGAGTAAAATAATTTAGAATTACATAATTCTAAATTCCTATTTTACCCTCAATGGCTAATAAAATTACAATGATGACATGGGGACTCATAGACTTATAATACAAGCTCTAATAAAATTAATGTTCAATCAAACTCTTTAATTAGTTAATTATTTAATCTTATTAATTACAAAGTTATTTCACTATAAACTTGAAATTGCACTATTGACATTATAGACATTTATTTACATATGTGAAACGTTTATTTGATATAGTCACTTCACATAGATCAATCTTCCATAAATAATTCATAATTAGAGCTAGGTGAAATCAGTTAACCTCTCTAATTACATCTTTCTCCTTAAGTCCCATTGATTCTCAAATGAATTGTACATTCATAAAATAAATTCATGAATACAAGCTCGTCACAAATTCAAATACCGAATCAATACTCAAGAGAATTATTTATCTACTTTATTCTTAAGATCGATGGATTCCATATGATAATATTAACATTCCCGTTTATCTATTTCATCATGTCTCCAACATACAAGGAATAAGATTTAATTAGTAATCTCAAAGTCCATACCGAGTACGTCAAAAGACACGAATTCATAAATAGGAGTCTGCTAATAACTTAGGATTAAGATCATTATGTGTATGACTATCGGTAAATTCAATTAAAATTTCTATACTTAACGAAAATTATTAAAAATTCATATTGTGTCTTGTCTGAGTCCTACATAATCCCATTATGTAAAATACCATCATTCAATAACTCTCTCCATATCAATGATGCGGATAAGTTCGTTCCATTCTTAATGGGAATGACATGTATTAATAATGTTTTAATTAAATATTCCAAACTTAATTAAATTCATTACAAACTTATTTCGATTATCATCCTTAAATATTATCCTATAGTACAACACTTATATACCATATTTAAGGTCACATAAATAATCACAGAATTTTTAATGATATTCATAAAGTATATAACAATACAAGCACATAAACAATAAAATTTCTACTTTTTTAAATAAATAATAAAATCTAAAATTGCATATCATGCTTTAAGGACACCAATTCCAATAATCTTCCACTTGTCCTAAAGCAAGTGTGACATGTCTCTAATCCCAAATGCATCCAAATGCTTATCAAATACCTTTTGTGGTAATGTCTTCATTAACGGATCTACAAGGTTGTTCTCCGTCCCGATCTTCAGGACTGCTACATCGCCTCTCTCGACTATGTCTCTTATTAGGTGATACTTTAATTTTATATGCTTTGCACTCTTATGGCTCCTTTAGAATCTCAAAATGTATACTGAGTAAGTCAAAAGACACAAATCCATAAATATGAGCCTGTTAATAATTCATAATTAAGATCGTTCCATATATGACCATTGGAATACTCGATTTGAATTTCTATACTTAATGGAAATTAACAGAAATTCAAATTGTGCCTACATCCCGGTTCCACATAATCACATTATGTGCAATACACTCATACAATACCTCTCTATATTATTAGTGCGGATATCGCAGTTCCATTCTTAAAAGGAATGACATGTTGATGTGAAAATTACAAGTTCACAATATTGCATACAAGTAATAAAGTGATGAATAAAGTATCCTTCCCACGAGAATAGTGTCAAATTTAATTAATTACCGAAATTAGTTAACTCTAGAATTATTTGAACCGAAAATAAAATAGAAAAATAATAAAAAAAATATAAAATGAAAATTCAAATAAAATTTTTTGTTATACACGATCTGTTTAATTACATGCTTCCGCATCTGAAATCGTTTCAGAAATTAACAGAACATTGTGGGCTAAATCAGAAACAATCATAGAAAAATGAAACACCAAACCTATGCCTCTGATGAATTTGGACTTTCCCTCAACTTTTGGTTTTTCGTTTTGCTTTTATTTTTTTTGTCCTCCTAGTACAAGCCTTGTGCGTGCAAGACATTAATGGAAAAAAATAATAATGTTTTCTATTTTACTTTTCATTAGCTTAATTAATATTCATTAGTATTTTTTTAATGGCTCATTAGTATTAAATGTATTCTAATAATCAGATTTTTAGATTAAACTTAGATTCTAAATTGAACTTACATTTTAAAAGTGAGATTACAAAAATACCCTCACATTATGTAACGAAAGTTAATTTTTTGTTAAAATTGTAACAAAAAGAACATTTTTGTTAACGTTTCATTTTTTAGAAGGCAGGGATGTTATGTTTTAAAATACAAGAAATAAAGTGCTACAGGAGTCATAGCTCGGGGGTAATTTTTATAATTAATCCTTTTTTATTAATTATCAATGCCAAATTTGATGGATTGCCAGTGTAAAGCAAAGAATAAAGCGGAGAAAGTAATGGAAATATACTAAATATGTAACAAAATAATAAATAAATGGATGACATTTTAATGTTCGAAATAAAGAGTAAAAAACATGTATATATATATATATATAAGATAATTTTAATATGTGCATGAAGAAATTGCTATCAATCATATTGATGATCTCCTTCAAAAGGAAGTTGTTTCACACCCTAAACAAAGCTTAGATATTATTCCGAGAACTAATAACACCCAAATATCACCTTAGAAGGAAACTAAAATATAACGAAACCCATAGAGCCATAATTCCATAATATGGCTCTATAGAAGCCACAAAACAAAACGATCGTGTGATAAAAATAACTACAAGAACATCCAATTGGAGATGACGCAGCTAATTCACAAATAAAAATTTGAGAGAGATCTATTTGCATTTATACTTTTGGAAAAAACGAACGGTATATTCCTTATTTATGAAGAACAAAATCCACCCCATATATATTTGTATTATTTACGTCCAATAATCCTCCATTATGTAGAAGTAGGGCTGATGATAATCAGTTTGTGAAAGCCAGACGTGAGATGTCATCCCCTCCAAAAGCAGCGTTAGAATTATGACACCAAGAATCGTCGTCAGTGATGAACTGCATCCACGAATCATCCTTGTCATCGTCCTGATCGACGCATAAGGACGATGCAGTTGGAATGTCCGGCGACATTTCCGACTCATTGATTACACCTTGCGACGAGCTCTCTATTTGGGATATACTGCATTGGCCTTGTTCTTCAATTTCAGAGCAGATGCCGTTCTTCTTAAACACTCGGCATAATGCATACGAATCCTGCAAGTCAAGCACTCTTTTTTCATTTCTTTTCATCTTTCATGTTTGAAACGGAACTTTTGTTTCGATACATTTTAAAGGGATTTGTTGTGCGCAGTGTGTTTTTGAGCATTAAAACATTGGGATGAAGATAGATGTCAAAACATTCTAAAATTATTAGTAAATGTTATAGAGACCGATATATTCCACAAAAGAGAAAACGGAGGAAGGAAAGAAAAAGGGAGGGAGAAAAACCGAAGACCAACAATAGTAGGTTTAAAAAGATATATAGTTCGCCAAAGTCTAGGTTATCTATAATATTGGGAAATACCCTAGTGTCTTTATTTCAAAAAAAAAAAAAACGTTGTGCTGTAGAAAATATGGCATGCAGGAAAAAAAAAAAAAAGTAGAAAACTATGTTATATAATTGGATATCCAAGGACCAAAATTAGATAAAGTTGGTAGAGAAAGACAGTTTAAAGCTAGCTCATGATATTAAATTATGCATAAAAGTTAATTTGTTTGGACTTGAATGGTTGGTGGTCAAACTAGTCAATAATTGCGATTCACAGCGTGAGCGACATATCAAAAAGTAAGTATACGGATAATGTGATTTGTAAACATTAGCTTAAAGAAGACCCTTTTTCAGTTGGCCAGCCTATTAGTAATTTCAAGTTTTAATCGCTAAATTTAATTAAAATGACATTAAATTAAAAAATATATATATAACAAATAAATTTTAATGTATATATGACTGTTAAAAAATAAATTACTATTAATAATTTATTTTTTTAAAGACTATTAGAGAAATTCTCTTAAAAAAAAAAATTAAAAAGAAATACATATATGGGCTTATTTGTGGCATATTTGTGACTTTGGAATAAAGTAAAAAGTAGCCCCTAGACCTTCTTACACCCCGAAAGTGATGTGTATTTGCTTTTCTGTGGCTAAAAATACACTAAATTATATAAAGAATCTATGATTCAGATCGGAGAACAACAAACAAATAGATCTTAAGCTTTGAGTAAGAGATTTTAGTATTTGGAGGCATGGAACTTTTGTCTTATTAAGGGAAAAAGATAGAGATATAGAAACTCATGACATGTCCCACAACTCTGACACTCAAGAGATCTAACACTGGTGCAAGCAACGAATATGCAACACTAATATTTGTTATTAATATTATAAGAGGAGTAAACAACACTAAAACCTAAAGGTATGACAATTCTATTCATTGGAGAAATAATAACAACGTTGTAATATTAATTACATGATGCTAAAAGTCCAAACTAACGCTAGAGAGTGAGACTTATTATTATCATTAGAGACTATTATTTTGGGTTAAGACTTTAATGATAGATTGCTTTTATTTGATGTTCCTTTAATTCCTTGAGAAGAGGGTGATTATAAACAGGACAACTAAAGGAAAAAAAAAAAAAAAAAAAAAAAAAAAAAAAAAAAAAAAAAAAAAAACATTTCGCTGCTCTATCTTCATCATACCTATTTTCATTTTCCGAAGCTTTTTTTTATAAATATTTTACCTATTTTTTTGCTTTTACTTGATCTAAAATCTACATTTTTGCTTAACCCGATGTGTAAAGTAAATTAATACTCACTCCAAAAACACACAAAACAAAATGTAGTGACCTATAAATTAAATATGTATAATCCAAATAAATAAATTTATGAAGCACCAAATCTATAAAGTTTTCTTGACGTGTTTTCCTAATTAAGACGCAGGCGCAATCCGTAATTTATTGTGCAGAATGAATATATATGTCCTGATCACGGAATTACAAAGATTTTCATGTAATGATCATAAGGGGAGAGAGAGAGATTGCATTACTTACGTACTTACATTTACCTGAATCCCAGAGCTATCTTCGCACTCCTTGTCATCAAGACGATACTCATGCATTACCCAATCGGTCCTAATCCCTTGCGGCGCACGTCCACGGTAGTAAACCAATGTCTTCTTCATCCCTATGGCTCGATTTTGACACGTCACTCTCCTGTCTTTGCCTGTTGACTTCCAATATCCAGCTTTCGTGGCCCTATTTGTTCTGAACCCATTAGGGCATTTTCTATCCCGGGGTCCAAAGAAGTACCACTCTGGATCTCTACTCGGCAAGAACGATTTTTCTGGTGAAACAAAAAGAGTTGAGTTTGGCTTCGAGCCACTTATGAATATTTATAAACACCGTATGCATATTCAACTGACACAAGTTACATGGCTAAGTTACTTGCCACTGGTGAGGGATCTGGATGAAGCAAAAAAAGCCCATGATCTACTTTGTTTAATGGTAGAAAAGTAAGGATTAGTCTTTTGTTCTTCTTCTTTTGTTTTGTTTTGTACTTGGTTTTTTTTCTTTTTTTTTTTATGCATGTTTTAATTGATAGAAGCTGACCTTTGGATTTTATTTATTTACAGTAGGGATCATGATTTATTTGGCCCCGACAATCAAAATCTCCCAGTTATTATTGCAGTTTTGGAAGAGGTAAGTTTTCTTTATCACAAAAATTGAATTATCATTTGCGGAGCAAATAAATTGATCTTTTTACTCCAACCACTAAATCATACTTGTGATGAAAATAGTAACAAATAGCAATTTAGAGACATAACGTTTTATAGTTCTCTAGAATTTTTCAACCATTAGCTTCATCCACTCCATCGAAGTGATAATTTATATCTACTATGGCAGATTCAATAAACAACCATTTTGTAATATAGTGGAATGAACAAGCATTTTAATAATCAAGTTCTTATTCTTTAATGTTCACAAACTACAGACTCATTATTTTCACTACTCGAAAACGTCACGTCTTTTATACGATGTGGGGCCTATGTCTCCCACTTTACTAATAAAAAATGAAATACCAGAATTCAAATCTTGGTTGACAGTTGACACACGCACACACTCACGCACCCAATCATTTGAGTTAGCCTCAAGTGGCACTCAAAAACGGTTACTATTCCCTTTAAGAAAACCGTTTTTATTATTACCTTTCTAATTTTAACTTATTGTTATGATTCTTTAGGTTGTGCAGCAGCAGGAGACCCTTGCAACAAAAGCAACTGCTGAGAGACTGACTGCCCTGCTACCTTTGTTAAAATCTGAATTAGATTTCTAGTTTCTTTTGCTACTAACATTGTGGCATGCTGAGTGTTAACCTGTATAGGCGGAGAAAAAAGAAGAAAAGTAATCTCTAGTGCAGAATGTGTAAAAAAAAAAATTAAAAAAAAAAACCAGCAAGTATATTACCTTTTTTTTATTATTGAACTTTGAGAATTTTCCAATTATTGATTGGTATTTCATGTGCTTCTTCCTTAGGTTATATAAAACGCTGCTAATCTCTTTCATATCAACATGATCACATTAGTTCTCCAACATTGCTTCCTATTTCTCGAGAGTTTTACAAGTTTAATAGTTTTGCCATTGTCAGAGTAACTAGTTGATCTACAAAGAATAACAAGAACAATATATCACGAAAGTAGTTCACTTATCCCTTTTGACTCTAAGATGTGCTTTCAAATATGAGAAGCAATAAAACAAAGGATAACAAATTCTAATATAGGTTAGTTTGTATCTTACTTTTTGTATGAAGATAGCTAGCTCGGGGCATTTGCTGAATATGAATCCTCATCTAGATGGAAACCATGTCAATGTTGTTACTCGCAGAATGTTACAAAGCCACTTACGTACCTACGATCAACCAACCATGCTTCGCAAATCTCAATCGCTAACGTCTCCTTGAGCCAATCATGCAAAGTGAAATGAAAATCTGTGCAATGTGCTTTTCTTCAACATGACTAGCATTAGCCTGACCAAAGCTTTGGTCTTGAATGCTTTTCCCGGAGGTTTCATTTGTACTATCTTTTGCATGTCAGATTAATGAATAATTCAACCTTTTATTCGTGCTGGAGTTCGATTGCTAATCTGTCCTCTCATATTGGAGGTGGTGAAGAATAATTGTGAGGATAGGAACAAGCAGGTAGTGCAGCCTGGTGCTAGTTTCTACCAATAATCATTGCAAGAGCAGATCCCGTCATTGAAATGGTGGAAGCGGTTTGAATCTCTTACTACTATCTCCTTCTGAAGTAGATCTGATGCCAATTTCATGAAATTATGGCAATCTACACAAATGCTGATGTTCTTTATAATTTTTATGACACTCCCACAAGGATGCAAACTGCCTTCATTCATTATAAAATACATCAACGCTAATTTCTCACTGTGACGATACAAGTTCTCCTCCTTTTGTTCCTCCTCTATATCATGCAAGGACAAGCTTGTCTCTGGCACATAACCCATCTCCTTTAACTGCCGTATTAGTCCGTCAAGCTTGCTGCATATAACCTCCCTATCTGGATGACGGCAACCTCCAGAGGCAAACTCATGAACCCGATTCCCGATCTCAATCCAACTCAATCCGGGTTCCTTCCTAACTCGACACTCTTACTAGAGTAATATATGTTTGACATTTGTACATAGCCCAAGGAACTTCTAGGCTCCAACTCCTTTAGCTTATCTGATGCTAACTTAGCTAAGCCAGTCTCCCCATGCTTTTTACATGATCCTAGAAGCGCACTCCACACCACGGAATCTGGCTCCATTGGCATCTGACCTATAAGTTTCTCAGCCTCGTGAATTTTCCCGGCTCGCCCATACATGTCAACCATGCAGGCGTAGTGATCAATTTGAGGGACGATACCATAATTTTCACGCATGCAGTCGAATATTTTAATTCCATCTTCTACCAGTCCAGCATGGCTGCAAGCACAGAGAAGAGCAACTAAAGTGGCGGAGTCCGGCTCGAGATTCATTTCAGAAAAGAGATGTAATGCCTCTCTTGCTCTTCCATGCAGGGCGTAAGCCTTGAGCATGGAATTCCACGAAACCACATCACGTTCTTCAATCTCATCAAAAACTTTCTTAGACATAGAAATGGAAGCACACCTAGCATAGGCATGGATCAAGGAATTCGTGAGAACAGTGTCACCCTCAAATCCCGACTTAATTACTCGCGAATGGACTGCAGCAGCATGTCTCTCCGTTACAAGGCCTGCACAAGCTTTTAAAACAATAGAGAAGGTGTACCAGTCTGGTGCTAGACCCTCTTGACACAACTGGGAAAAGAGGAGTAGTGCTCTTTCTGGGTCCCGCTCTGCGAATATCGTCATAATGCTGGTCCATGAAACGATATCCCGATGGCAACTTGTCTCCAAGAAGACCCTATAGCAGTCAACAGCATTCCCTCCAAGATCTGAATAAGCCTTCATTAAAGCAGTAGCCACCTTGACTTCGGATAAAAACCCAGTTTTGACCGTGAGGCAGTGCAATTGAAGACAAAACCTAAAACACGCCTTCATCTCTTTGTCTGCGCTTTCGCAGAAGGAAGTAAAGACGCTGAGAAGCGTGGCACGATCAAAACTAATCCCCATATGATGCATTTGGATGAAAAGGTCAATACCTCGAGCTCCAAGTCCATGAAACTGAAACGCTGCAATCATTGAATTCCACGTTACAGTGTTGCGGTATTCCATGCTATTAAACACGCTCCAAGCCTCATTCCCACCATGACACTTGTTATACATCATGATAAGCGTGTTCGCAACGTATAAACAAGCGTCCAAACACATTTTCAGAGCGAGAGCATGTACCTGCCTCCCGAAACGCCCCTCACCCTCGCGGCACGAGCTCAGAACACTTGCAAATGCGAACTCATTGGGGCGGCATTCCGCCAACATTGCGGAAAACAGCTGAAAGCATTCTGAGGAGTGCCCACGTTGCGCGTAGCCCGAGATGAGCGCGGTCCAAGAGACGTGGTTTCTGTGAGGCATTTCGTCAAACAGTTGGTGCGCGTAATCCAAGTGACCAAATTTACAGTACATATTAATGAGGTGATTAGTGACAAACGTGTCAGGACGGTTCATGGGATTGTGGGCCACCATGTGGCGGTGCAGACAAAGGCCTTCTCGGAGGCGACCGTGGCGAGCGCACTCATGGAAGAGAGTGGCGTACGTTTGGTGGCAATGGGGCCGTGGTTTGTCATCAGCTTCAATGATCGCATAGAAGAGTGACAGGGCTTCTTTGAGGCGGCCGCGCGTGGCGAGCACGCGGACCCTGTCGAGGAGATTATCGGCTTCGGGCGTGAGCCTGGAGAGTGTGGGAAGATTTCCTGAGCTGAATCTTCTGACTGAGACACGCCGCGCGCGGGTAGTCAAGCGTAACATCAAGCTTTTTTCTTCCTTATTTTATTTTTCAGTAGCGAGCCGTTACGATTCTAGCGCCTAGCAATACGAAGTTTTAAATCAACTTGGCCAGCGAAGTTACGTAACCACGAAGTTATGAAACCCCAACCCCACCCACCGGCGGATTTACATTCATTTTATCAATTTGAGTTTAAAATTTAAATTTTATTATAATAAAAAAATTTTAAAAATAATTATATTTAACTTTTTTACTACAATAAAAATTTTTAACATAAAATTACATCTTAACTTAAATTAAAAATTTCAATCAGTGAACTAAACGACAATAAAAATTTAGATTATATTTACTTAAAGTAGTGTATCAGATTTATATTAGATTTACTTAAAATAGTATATTAAAAGAGTGAAGAAGGCACAAACACACTTATGGATATTGTAGCTTTTCATCAAACAAAGATGAACCACTACTAATCTCTATATTTCCTTTGGGGGGAGGGGTTGAATATTTATCACATGGAGGGAAAATGTCGGTGAGATAAAAGAGTTTTTTTTTTTTTTTGGCTGAATAAAGAGCAAGTTATTTAAGCTGACGAATTTAGACAGTCAACATGTGGTGGTTTGGAGATTTTAAACCCTACACTTTATACTAAAATTAAATTTCTCTACATAATAACTTATGATTTTAGTTTATTATAACACTATACATTGTACATTTATTTTTCTTATTGCTTATGTTTAGTAAGATAAAATAAGAAAAACACTAAATCATGAAATTAAAAGTAGCATAACGTAACTAGAGCAA